GGCAACATCGGGTTCATTCTCGATGCACAATCAATAATTCTGGGTTTGAATCCTTGGGGTGGAACAGAAATGATTGGGCACATTTCCTTTCACCTAATGGCTCTGTTCACCTAGCAGCAAGTAGGTACTCAGTAGTTAGTCAGCTTGTTGTGGGGTTGCATCCTGGGCGGGGTCAGTAATTCGTCCTGGGGGGGGGGGGATCTAGATAAAAGCCTAATGTATGTGAATACACTTTGGCTCCCTATCCTCCAACACAATGAATTATTAATTATTAATTATTATGAATTATAATTTGAAAATGCTATACAGTAGAGAAATGCCAAGGTATATGTTCTGAAATATTGTAGTACACGTGTTACTTTATTGTGAACATAACTAAAAATGAGCAAAGAATGTATTATTCAGTTGATCTCTTAAATAGCTAACTTTTTTTTTTATCAAGTAATTGCTTTCAGCGACAAACAGAAATCTTCAACTATGATCACTTCATTGCTTTAGTCCACTTGTTAAATATGAAACAAAATATCCTTTCATAGATCAATGTGGTCACAGTTAAAATTAAATATAATCCTTGAAATTTAAAAGCCACAGACCATTCTCAAATGGTGGGGTAAATCCAGACCATTTATAAATCAATTGCAGAAACAGTCGTAAGTTACGACCTAACTCTGAAATTAGAGCAAATTTCTTCTTGCCCAGGAGTACTACCTCACTCAACAAGTAATGACTTGCAAGACAACGTGTGGAATTATCCGTTTTATGTTATGTTAGTTATGGATAGTTAAGATAGTAATAATTTTTTTTCCAATGTTTGCTTTTTATTGTTAATTTTTAAGAGAAAGCACACTAAGGAATTAGTGTGGAAAAAGCACACACACATTAAATAACTTTCCCTGGAAACATGTTATCGTTAAAATATACAACTGTATGTTTCAGAGAGAAGCACTAATACAAATGCTAAAAAACCAGCATTGAATGTAATGAAACATCATTTTCTGGGTAAGCCCCGGAGGCTTCCTGGAGCTATAGGACTGATATTAGCTATATTCTTCTTATTCTGGGGCTTCAGTCAATGGTGTCCTGCCTACCAGGGACCAGAGCCGGACCCCTGGCCCCCTCAGAGAGACAGGGAGCAATGGCTTAAGGAGAACCCCCCCCCCCCTTGCATTTAGATGTATTCCTTGTCTGCCATCAACTGGGGTTAGACACCCAGAAAGGTAGGCATCTCAAAACAAACCACACATTATAGGAAATTGCAAAAATCCCAAGACCGAACAGAGAAACAGAACTCCCCAAAGGAAATCAAAGGAAACAAGCAAACAAGCAATTGTCACTTACTGCCACTATGCTGCATGCCCACGCAGCCCTCCTCTCCCTGGGAGGGGAAGGGGAAGCCCCAGACCTACGTGCTGGCTACTCACACCTCAGTTCGGAGGCTGAGCATCAAAAACGAAACCGTCAACCGGAGTGAGGGAGAATGCCAGGGAGCCTCTGGGGCTCACCCAGAAAATGGCATTTCATTACATTCAATGCTGGTTTTCTGTGGGAAGCCACCTTCAGCTTCTTGGAGCTACATAACCAAAAATATGTAAAAGAGAGACTTACTCGGGAGGTGGCTACACCCCGTGGATCAATTTGAGGAGGACACAACTGGCTGCAAACTGTGACCCAAAGCCACGCACGAATGACTGGGACCGGGAATATTTACCAATTAACAGGTGGCTAGAACCCTGTTCGGCTCCAAAAACCCCCATGCCTGAATGTCAACCTAGGACATGTTGCCAAACACGGCAGTCAAGGCACCATACTTACAAACGTCATGGACACGAGGGTAGACTGCAGGCTGGCTAGACTTAATAATCCTGCAGACAACCTGAGAGACCCGAGTCCTCGAACAGGAAAATGGAAATCAGATCAACCCAAAGCATAGCCACAGAGGTTATCTTGAGATTTCGGGGCTTTTTAGTGTCCCTGCGGCCCGGTCCTCGACCAGCCCTCCACCCCCAGGAAGCAGCCCGTGACAGCTGACTAACACCCAGGTACCTAATTACTGCTAGGTAACAGGGGCATAGGGTGAAAGAAACTCTGCCCATTGTTTCTCGCCGGCGCCCGGGATCGAACCCGGCACAACAGGATCACAAGTCCAGCGTGCTGTCCTCTCGGCCGACCGGCTCCCGAGGTCAAGGCGAACAGGTAACAGCACAGAGCTGCAACCGGACACAACACATGATGCACCACTGGCCTGACCAACCAAGCATCAATAACTCATGGGACCCCTCCAGAAGCCCGCCGTCTCGTTCTTCACCAAAAAAGGAGGAGATAGCTGCAACCGAACAAAACGTCCACCAGTACCAAAAGAGCAGAAACCTCTGCGCCGGAGGAGAGCATTAAGCTCACCGACTCGACCCCCAAAGGCCAATGCCAACAGAAACAGAGCCTTCTGGAAGCAATTTCGAACCGAAGGGGCCACCATAAACCGAGGAAACGAGAGAAAATGTCCAACTCCAACCCTACTGGAAACAGGGCTGGACAGAGAAAACCCTGTCCAAGGACAAGAATGGCTCAGGCGGCACATGAGCAGGCCGGAGGGGAAACAAAACACGAGAAAGTTCACTGAATGCAAGCTGCAGAGGCTCTGCCAGTGCCAAACGATATAAGGAGAGTAAATGGCGAAAAGACCACCAAACGCCGCATACTGTCACCGAGATGAGAACCACAGGTGGGGACACCATGAGAGAAATCAACTGATCACCATACAAGTGGTGATACACCCGTGTCAAAAAGACCAGACGCGATGAGCGGAGGAGTAGATCGAACCAGCCACGCACTGAACTGGCCTGATCTGCTGGAAGAGGTGGAGCAGCGGAAAACGCCCCGGTTTGAACCTCGAGCATGCAGCACCTGAAACTAAGGCTGGGCTGGCCACCATGGGACTATAAAGACGACTCTCCCATGAGAAGACTCCAGCCAAGCCAGAAACCGAAGCAACAGCTGAACCAGGGGAAGAGGTACAAGGAACTCCACCACGACTAGTTCTGCCGAAGAGTGTCCAGGAGGAGGAGCATAGAAACCACAACAGCAGGGGAAGGACCCAGGGGCACAGACTGAACCAAGGCCAAAGTGACCAAGGCCCCCCCCCCCCCCCCCAAGTCCAACCCAACCAAAACGGCGCAGCCCCATACGGTGTTCAGCCTACAGGATATAAGCCAAAGCACCACAAACAGCAGGAAACACCACAAGGGCACAAACTCTAGCAAGAATCTGTGGCCAGAGTCGGCATCTGCCCCAGAGCGCTTCAGCCACAAACTGAGGTGTGAGTAGTCAGCGTGTAGGTCCTGGGCTACCCCCTCCTCCTCCCGGGGAGAGGAGGGCTGTGCGGACGGGACAAGCGGCGTGGCGGCAGTGAGTGACGATTGCTTGTTTGTTTGTTTCTTGTGTTTTCCTTTGGGGAGTTGTGTGTGTCTGTTCAGTCTTAAGATTTTTGCAATTTCCTACCATGTGAAGTTTGTTTTGAGATGCCTACCTTTCTGGGTGCCTAACCCCGATCAATGGCAGACAAGGAATACCTCCAAATACAAGGGGGGTCTCCTTAAGTCACTGCTCTCTGTACTTCTCTGAGGGGGCCAGGTTCTGGCTTTGGTCCCCGGTAGGCAGGACTCCATGGACTGAAGCCCCAGACTAATATAGCATATGTCAGTCCTATAGCTCCAGAGAGCCAAAGGAGCTTCCCACAGAAAATTAGTTCAAATTCTTGTGAGGTATGGAACAATCAACAGCTATAACTGAATTACTAACACTGCTCAATGACATAATTAACATTACTTCATGATTAATCATCGTACTTTTAACACATGTACTGTATCACTATTTTATCCATGATGACATCACATACTTATAATGTATATGTATTTATGTATGTACTGTATATCCAAAGTATGTGCACATGAATGAAAGCAACTTTTGGATTATATGACACACCTGTATGGATGTACTTGTACAACCCAGGCACTTTATTAATAATTTAAGTGAGTATGGTATGCAGATATGATAGGTTGCAAACCATGAAAGACATTCCACCTAGTGTAAAAGTGACATAACTATCTTCAATTTAGACCTCATTTACATTACTGATCAAAAATATTGTAAATTTATGCACAGGCAAATATTTTTTCTAGTGTACTGTAATAATTAAATATGCATGAATTTCAAAATTAATCATAATAATTCTTGAGGAAATTACTTATACTTGTTAAAAACTTCCCAATTAAAACAAGTTTTGAATGTAATGAAATGCCCCTTTCTGGGTGAGCCCCAGTAGCTCCCTGAAGCTATGTCACCGAGATGGCTTCGCAGTATTAAGTCACATCAGTCATAGGCATCTTGTTTGCATACCGGTGACCAGAGCTCAAATCTGGCCTCCCTTGAAGAAGCGCAGGGAGCAGAGGATTGTTACAATCGCCCTTACTGATAAAAGCAACCAAACAGTAAGCGAAACAATAGACAACTGCAACATTCATAAAAATGAAGCAATGAAACAGCCAACAGACACCTCAAAAGAAATACTACAAATAAAATAGATTACTCAAAATTAGGTACAAAACACCCCCCTAGTATGCTGGGCCACCAACTTCCCCCGAGCTTACAGCTTCATGACCAGCAACTGTTTCAATCGAGAGTTGATGGACTGTGAACCAATGTTGCTCATAGGGAAGGTAGTCAGGGAGCCATGGGGGCTTACCCAGAGGAGGGCATTTCAATTCTTGAATTTACCTTAGGGCCACCCACCCTAGTTGTTGGATGAGGACAGGAAGCTGACAGCTTGTCACCTTTTATTGTGTATTTTTTCCTGAAGCAACATATCTTTTGCACTTATTATTCCATACCTTTAATAAAACCTTACCATTTTCTCCATTTAAATCATCAGTATAGACAATATTCCTGTAGCAATAAGTTTCAATTAATTTCCCTAGCTCAACAAAATTCTGCATCATTAGACTCACCATAGCTCTGGAGATGTGGTGGTACCTTTGGCGGCCGGGACCCATCCTCTGCCTTAATAGTAGGGGGCTCTTTACGATCAATTAAGAAGTAGGTTGTCATTTCTCCCTTTCCTTTAACTTTAACTTTTCCACGACATTGAAAGTGATAGGGTCTATTCTTAAGAACCTGGTAAACTTCTTCTGTTACCTAAGAAATATATTAAAATAATGTCTAGTTAAAACAGAATCTTTACACATCATTAAAAACTAAACAAGAATTTCCTTCCAGTATCAAGGTCAAAGTAAATATTATTTAATGTTTATCATTTCATTATAGACTTTCTTTTCAATAAATTTCAACAACACATTTTGTGAGTTACATTAATATATAGCAAGGAGAAACTGAAAATGCTAAGAAAAGGGGAAAAGTTAAAAAACCAGAATTGAATATAATGAAACACCAATTTCTGGGTGATCCCCAGTGGCTCCCTGAAGCTACTATATCTGATAGAGTGCCAACTACAAGGAGTCATCACATGCGGAGTTTTAATTGGCCTACCTGGAACAATGAGCTAGGACTTAGCCCCCCTCAGTGGGGCACAGGAAATGGTGGCACTTATGATAAAAATTTATATGAATTTATTCATGTCTGCCATCACCAAGGAAGGAAAGCAGAACGTCAGCAAAACAAGTGAGATCACTGCTGGTTATAAGTGATCCTGAGTTTTGTCTATTATGCATAGAATGTAAGAAGATTAAAATTTCTTGACGCCATTCATATTAAACCAGTGTTGAATGTAATGAAATGCCATTTTCTGGGTGAGCCCCAGAGGCTCTGTGGAGCTATTGGACTGATATATGCTATATTACTCTGGGTTAGGCACCTAGAAAGGTAGGCATCTCAAAACAAACCCCCACTTGGTAGGAAATTGCAAAAAACCCAAGACCGAACAGGGACACAGAACTCCCCCCAAAAAAGTTAACAACCTCCCCCCCCTCCCAAAACATCACACCGGCTGCCCACACCTCAGTTCGGAAGATGAGCATCAAAAACAAAACGAAACTACCAACTGGACGGAGGGAGGATGCCAGGGAGCCTTCGGGGCTCACCCAGAAAATGGTGTTTCATTACATTCAACGCTGGTTTTCTGTGGAGAGCCCCTTCGGCTCCCTGGAGCTACATAACCAAAGATAAGTAAATAGGGGTCTTACCCAAGGGGAGGCGGCCACACCATGTGCCTCAACTCAAAGACGAGACAACTGGCTGCAACCTGGCAACACGTGAACGACTGGGACCAGAAACATACACCAAATAACGGGCAACCAGGACCCTGTTTGACCTCTAAAACCACCGCGCCTGAATGTCAACCCAAGACGTGTTCCCAAACACAGCAGCTAGAGCAGCAAACTTAAGAACATCATGGGCATGAGGGTAGACCACAGGCTGGTTAAATTTAATAACCCTGTGGATGACCTGAGAAACCCGAGCCCTGGAGCAGGGAACAAGGAAAATTGGTTCAACCTAAAGTGAGTCCACGACCACAAAAGCCAAGGCGCGCAGGAAACGACACTGAGCCGCAACCAGACAACGCTTGATGCATCCCCCAGTAGGCCAAGAAGTGCATTCTGGCTACTAGGTATGATAGATAGATGTGTATTATATATATATAAAACGCTGAACTGTAATGCCAATCCTAACCTCAAAAGCTTCATTGAAGGTTGTAACAGAACCCATGAGCACCATACCAGAAACAAATACCATTTTGATATCTCAAGAGTACGACTTAATCAAACTAGAAATGATCTACAAATCAAGGGACCCAGAATGTGGAATGACCGAATGACCTTCCCAATCATGTTAAAGACTGTACCTCTCTCAACCAGATTAAGATAAAAACTAAGCACTTCCTAATAAATTCCCTGTAACCTACCTTACCCCTATATTGTCAACACATGTCATATTTTTAAACAATGCTGTTTGTCGACCTAATTGTATTTTTGCTGTTTTTCTGCCATGTTCCCCCCTTTTTTTATTTTTATTTTTTCTCACCACATTTTATACTTTAATCTCAATTAGTATTAAGTTTTAGTCTTTAATGTTTTTCCTGCCCGAAACGCTTTGCGTAATAGTGGCTTTAGGCATTGTATGTACTAGCTCTATCTATAAATCTATCAATTTTTGTATCACCTCTTGTATGTATGTACTTTACCTGAATAAACATTTGAATTTGAATTTCGATAGATAGATAAATTATATATATATATATATATATATATATATATATATATATATATATATATATATATATATATATATATATATATATATATATATATATATACAGTATATATATATATATATATATATAATTAAATATGACCGAAAAAGTAAGATTAATAATTCTAACACGAATTTTCTCAATCTTTCGTACATTTCTTTTCACTGTTGGTGGTAATTCAAAAATCAATTCTCCAAAATTCATTTTTTATTTCTAGTCTGACGCGACACTTGAGCGCGTTTCGTAAAACTTATTACATTTTCAAAGACTTTAGTTTAAACATACACAACTGAATAGAACTTACACATCTCTGATTTGTTTATATCTACATTTGAGCGAGGTGGATGGGGTGAGGTGGTATTTAATAAGGTATTAATTTCATCAACACAAGACAGAACACGAAACAATGGGTATTGAATAGAAGTGATTGTAGAAAGCCTATTGGTCCATATTTCTTGATGCTTCTATATTGGAGCGGAGTCTTGAGGTGGGTAGAATATAGTTGTGCATTAATTGGCTGTTGATTGCTGGTGTTGACTTTTTGATGTGTAGTGCCTCGCAAACGTCAAGCCGTCTGCTATCGCTGTATCTATCGATGATTTCTGTGTTGTTTACTAGGATTTCTCTGGTGATGGTTTGGTTGTGGGAAGAGATTATATGTTCCTTAATGGAGCCCTGTTGCTTATGCATCGTTAAACGCCTAGAAAGAGATGTTGTTGTCTTGCCTATATACTGGATTTTTTGGAGCTTACAATCCCCAAGAGGGCATTTGAAGGCATAGACGACGTTGGTCTCTTTTAAAGCGTTCTGCTTTGTGTCTGGAGAGTTTCTCATGAGTAGGCTGGCCGTTTTTCTGGTTTTATAGTAAATCGTCAGTTGTATCCTCTGATTTTTGTCTGTAGGGATAACGTTTCTATTAACAATATATTTCAGGACCCTTTCCTCCGTTTTATGTGCTGTGGAAAAGACGTTCCTGTAAAATAGTCTAATAGGGGGTATAGGTGTTGTGTTAGTTGTCTCTTCAGAGGTTGCATGGCGTTTCACTTTCCTTCTTATGATGTCTTCGACGAAACCATTGGAGAAGCCGTTGTTGACTAGGACCTGCCTTACCCTACAGAGTTCTTCGTCGACTTGCTTCCATTCTGAGCTGTGGCTGAGAGCACGGTCGACATATGCGTTAACAACACTCCTCTTGTACCTTGTAGCACTATATCAAAAGCAAAGCTTTTGATATAGTGCTACATGAAAGACTGATTATATACATGAAAGACTGATTATAAAGATAGAGGCTCATGGTATTGGGAGTGCTATATTAAGTTGGATTAGGGAATGGCTATATCAAAGGAAACAGAGTTAGTATAAATAGGGTTAAGTTAGTATAAAGTATAGTATAAATGGTTCTTATGTGTGGGGTGTAGGCTGAGCTATGTATGGGATGGTGTAGGCTAAGCTATGTGTAGGTGTGGTGTAGGCTACGCTATGTTAAGGGTAGTATAGGCTGAGCTGTGTGTGGGGTGGTGTAGACTAAGCTATGTGTACATGTGATGTAGGCTAAGCTATGTTAAGGGTGGTCTGAGCTATGCACAGCCCCGCTTCTGTGCCAGGCAAGTCCACTACGGGCTCACCATAGCTCGTGCTACTTGAAACTTTTATTCCCAGTAGCTGAATCTATAACAACAATCTATAACAGCTGAGCTATGTGTAGGGTGGTGTAGGCTTAGCGATGTGCAGGTGTGGTGTAGGCTTAGCTATGTGTAGGTGTGGTGTAGGCTAAGCTATGTGTAGGTGTGGTGTAGGCTAAGCTATGTGTAGGTGTGGTGTAGGCTAAGCTATGTGTGGGCATTGTGTAGGCAAAGCTATGTATAGGGAAGGTGTTGGTTAAGCTACATATTTATATTAGAAACATGTCATATGAAGAAAGATTGACAAAGCTTAAATTACATTCTCTAGAAAGATGAAGAATTATGGGTGACATGATAGAGGTGTACAAGTGGATGACTGGGCATAAAAAAGGGGTATTAGTAGGGTATTAAAAGTATCAACACAAGACAGAACACGAAACAATGGGTATAAATTGGATAAGTTTAGATTTAGGAAAGAACATAAGAATAAAGGTAACTGCAGAAGGCCTATTGGCCCTAACGAGGCAGCTCCTATTTATAACCACCCAATCCCATTCATATACATGTCCAACCCATACTTGAAACAATCAAGGATCCCACCTCCACCATGCCACGTGGCAACTGGTTCCGCAAGTCAACAACCCTGTTACCGAACCAGTATTTACCCAGGTCTTTCCAAAATTTAAACTTACCCATTTTATACCCATTGGTTCGTGTTTTCTCTTGTGTTGATACTTTTAATACCCTATTAATATCTCCTTTGTTATGTCCATTCATCCACTTGTAAAACTCTTATGTCACCCCTAACTCTTTGCCTTTCCAGTGAATGAAATTTAAGCTTTGTTAATCTTTCTGCATATGGCAGGTTTCTAATGCAGGGAACCAACCCTGTCATCCCACGCTGGACACGTTCAAGTGAACCCACATCTATTCTATATGAGGCAGCTCCTATTTATAACCACCCAATCTCACTCATATACATGTCCAACCCACATTTGAAACAATTGAGGGACCCCCCCACCTCCACCAAGTTATATATGATGTTAATAATGTACTGTGTGAGTACATAAATAAAAGAGAGATTTATTTTTTAAATATAATACATTATATTATGAGTAGATACTTCACCTGAGTATGATTTGGGAGACCTGTGGAGTCCATGCGACTAGCAACATTAACGGTATTACCCCATATATCATACTGGGGCTTTTTTGCACCAATAACTCCTGCAACAACTGGACCAATGTTCATACCTGAAATAACAGTTTAAAGTGATCAGAACATACAATTAAAACTAGCATTTATTTCTTAATCCCCTGAAGAATGATCCCTTGGCAATGAGCCAAGGCCCCCCTATATCAGTGTGCAAATAAACAACGTTGAATGTAATGAAATGCCATTTTCTGGGCGAGTCCCGGAGGCTCCCCGGAGCTATCCTGGCTGATAGGGATAGTCCTAACTTTTGGCATCAGTCGATGTGGGTGGAGTTCTAGGCCTGCCAGGGACCACGGCCAGAACCTGATCCCCTCAGAGAGGCACGAGGAGCAATGTCCTATAGAAATGCACATGTGATTTTGGAGCATTCTGTATCTGCCATCAACCAGGACAGGCACCCAGAAAGGTAAGCACCTCAAAACAATCCCCTATTCTGGTAAAACCAACAAAAATAACAAAAAATGGACAGAACTCCCCCAAGGGAAAAGAGCAAACAATCATGACGTCACGTGAGCCGCACCGCTTGTCTGTGCAGCTGTCCCCTCCCCGGGAGGAGGAAGGGGGAACCCAAGACCGTCACGCTGGCGATCCACACCTCCAGTTCCGAGGCTGGATATCACAATACGCGAAAACCACTGACCAGAGGGAGGGAGGGAGGGTTGCCGGGGAGCCTCTGGGACTTACCCACAAAATGGCGTTTCATTACATTGAATGCTGGTTTTCTGGGGGGAGCCCCTACGGCTTCCTGGAGCTACTTCACCGAAGACTAAGGAAAAAATGGAACTTACCCAGGAGGAGGTCGGTGCTCCACACCTCCACTAAGTCGAGACGGGCTGCAGCCACCGACCCAGAGCGACACAGGCCCAACTAGGCCCAGGAACGTTCACAAGGAAGCGTGCAGCCAGGACCCTGTTTGACCACCAAAAACCCCATGCCCGAATGTCAGCCAAGGACATGTTCCCCAAAACGGCAGCAAGAGCAGCAAACTTACGAACATCATGGGCACAGGGATAGACCGCATGCTGGCTAGACTTAATAACCGTATGGACGACCTGAGAGACCAGTACCCACGAACAGGGAAGAAGGGAAACCGGATCAACCCAAAGCGCGTCCCCGGACACAGAAGCTGTGGCACGCAAATAACGGCGGAGGGCTGCAACCGGACACAAAACATGATGCACCGGGGACTGACCAACCAAGCAACAACAACCCAATGACCCCACCAGAAAGCAGCAGTCACATTCTTCACCAGAAAAGAAGGAGAAGGCTGCAGACAAACAAACCTATCTCCACAACCGAAAGAGCAGAAACTCCTGCACCGGAGGAGAGCATAATGCTCCCCGACCCAAACCCCAGAGACTAATGCCAACAGGAAAAGAGCCTTCGAAAAACAATCCTGAACAGAAGGGGCCACAACAAGCCGAGGAGAAGAGAGATAAGAGAGCACTCTGTCCGAAGAACAGGACGGCTCGGGCGGCGCATGAGCAGGCCAGAGGTGAAACAGTGCACGAGACACCTTGCGAAACTGCGCAGAAGTAACATCTATACCGAAAGCAAGCTGAAGCTGCTCCACCAGCGCCGCACAATATGAGGCGACAGTATTCGACATATGATGATGGTAATGGAATAACCACAGGAGAAAGGACACCACCACCCAAACCGAAAGTGAAGTACAACAACGAAGAGTCAAAAAGTAAGGAAAGGACCGCCAGGAAACGTCATACTACCACCGAGACGAAGCCTGCAGGTGGGACACCAATAACGAAGCCACCTGATCACCAAACAATTGGTGATAAACTTGAGTCAAAAATACCAAACGCGAAGACTATAGGAGAAGAGCAAACCTCTTCTTGTAATGGAATGGGCCGATCTTCTGAAAGAGGCAGAACCACGGTAAAACATCCATGTATGGACACCAGGCAAGCAGCGCCTGAAACCATGGCTGGGCCATCTACCATGTGGCCAAGAGGACAACGCGCCCCTGTTAAGTTCTAAGTGAGCCAGGAACTAGAGCCACAGCCAAACTGGAGGAACCGGGTATAGAACACCCCCCACCTCGACCAGTCCTGCCGAAAGGCGTAGATCCCGACAGCTTCGCGGTCGGGGAAGGGTGCCACATATACCGGAAGACGCCTCGACCACGCCGATGCGAAGATGTCCACCTCCGGGCGCCCAACTGAATAAGTTGGCATCAATTGATTGATTAGATCAATTGTCATCTATGTAAACATCTGTAATTGTTTTGATTGAAATTAATTAGATCAATTGTCATCTGGCTGTCATTGTGTAAATATAATTGAGTGTTCAATTGTCATGTCTGTCATCATGTAACGTAATTGAGTGTTGCATGGAAGACTGGTCTCGGTGACAGGTCTATCCATTGTCATTTCACTGACTTACTATTGCTTGCTGCAGTCGTGACAAGCTGTAATTGCATCTAGAGTGGTTGCCCACTTCTTTAGATTAGTGTTAACAGCACTGCGAGCAGTCCACACTGGAAGCCTAGCTTTGTCAAGCGCCACGACAGACATTAACGTAACGTCAGATTATTCTTGCCACGTATCACTAGTATTAAGTTCTTATGAATAAACTGTCAATTGTTGAACTACAAGTGCCTTTACATTCATACCTTCTAAAACCCTTGTACCCAGTTCTGATTCTACCATTGCCATTTGAAGTGATTAATTTATATGTTGTCTGGATTACTTGGACTCCAACAAATTTCATGGCCATACACATCAAATACTAAATATTTGATGTGAAAGCCCAAGAGCTTCTCTGATGACCACCTTGTGTGGTCCCAGACGCTCCACGACCTAATGGATGAGGAGTGCCAAGGTTCTGGATTCCTGCAGTTGCTCTATGGATCCCTGTGCAGTCATTAAAGTATAATCTGCCCTTAGCATTTGTTTGATGTTAGTTCAGTCCTTCCTGACTGAGGTCATTTGAATTAACACTGAGATCACATCTGGTGCCACCATGGTGCTGGTAGAATGCCATTGAAGAGTACCATGGAGTGTCCATCTGGCCAATAGATACTTGCAACCTATTCACCTCTAAAAGGGATAATCTCACAGAGTTCAAGGGATGGCCAACATTCGTCTATAAAACCAGGACCCAAAGGGCAAGGGTGACATGAAGACTACATGCAAACACAGTCAAACTAGGCAAATGACTGAAGGGTTGACCCAGGTCAGACCCGGAGTTTCTGGTGCTGCCACCTGGGAGTAACTAGCTAGGGAACAATCTAACTGCCGTATTCCTAGATATCAAGGTTATTCATATTTTCCTTGCTGTAGCCTGTTAAGTTTTGCTCTTCCTTCTTGGTGGCTTATTCTCTCAGAGTAATCTAGCCTCCAGAGCTTCTGGCACCTCTGTGAGGAGACCAGGTTTTGGCCTGTAGTCTCTAGTAGGGTTAAGTCTCTGATTCTGATTTTGATGTCTATATGCTATGCTGTTATTGTGACACACTTATGCAATTAATGTACAGTACTCTACTTCTTATGTAATCTTTCCCAATTATAAATGTACAACCATTTATGAATATAGTCTTTGAATTTATTTTGATTGATTTATGACTCACAAGGGCCTGGTGTGACAATACGTAATTACCTATGTGTATTTACAGAATGAGAGATATGCTCGTGGTGTCCCATCTTCCCAATACTCCTTGCAGTGTAACACTTTGAAACTACCGACAGTTTTGGTCTCTACCCCTCCTCCTCACTTAGCTTGTTCCAACAGTCTAAAGAAAGGAATGGTTCCCAACCACTTGGACGGTCGGGAATTGAACGCCCACCTGCATGAGGCAAGACGGTCGCTCTACCGTCCAGCCCAAAGTGGTTGGACACGAGTGTAGCTAACTGGGCAGTTAGCTAAAGGAAGTCACTAAGGGAGCCTTCCCAGAAACTACAGTACAGTACTTTCATAGTTTAACCTAGAAATTTCCATTTCTATAACAGTATGTAATAAAGAACATCATTATATGTACATTACAAATAATACAAGCAAAGCCAACAAAACTCACCTACTCTTAGCGTAAAACTATTATAAGAGTTTTCATTTATGTTTGCAAGTTTTTCTCTGAATGCAAACACAAGCTCAGTAAGCACTGACATGTAGTGACTGGCAGATTCTTCTTTGTGGTCCAATATCCTCATATCTGGCATGAGTCCAACTGCTGCCATGAAAGTTGAGCCAACAGTTTTGATCTTATCCACTGACTTAAATCGCTCATCATCCAACAGCTATAAAAAAAAATTACACACATATTACATTGTGTGTGTGTGTGTATGTAATTACCGAAGTGTAATTACCTAAGTGTAGTTACAGGATGAGAGCTACGCTCGTGGTGTCCCATTTACCTTGCACTAATAAATAAATAAATAAATAAATAAATAAATACATAAATACATAAATAAATACATAAATAAATACATAAATACATAAATACATAAATACATAAATACATAAATAAATACATAAATAAATAAATAAATAAATAAATAAATAAATAAATAAATAAATAAATAAATAAATAAATAAATAAATAAATAAATAAATAAATAAATAAATAAATAAATAAATAAATAAATAAATAAATAAATAAATAAATAAATAAATAAATAAATAAATGTATGTTTATTCAGGTAAAGTACATACATACATACAAGAGGTTATACAAAAATTGATAGATTTATAGATAGAGCTAGTACATACAATGCCTAAAGCCACTATTACACAAAGCGTTTCGGGCAGGAACAACATTAAAGACTAAAACTTAATACTAATTGAGATTAAAGTATAAAATGTGTTGAGAACAAATAAAAATAAAAAAGGGGAGAACACGGCAGAAAAAGCAGCACAAATACAATTAGGTCGACAAACAGCGTTGTTTAAAAAAACAGACATGGGTTGACAATATAGGGGTAAGGTAGGTTACAGGAAATTTATTAGGTAGTGCTTAGTTTTTATCTTAAACTGGTTGAGAGAGGTACAGTCTTTAACATGATTGGGAAGGTCATTCCACATTCTGGGTCCCTTGATTTGTAGAGCATTTCTAGTTTGATTAAGTCGTACTCTTGGAATATCAAAACGGTATTTGTTTCTGGTGTGGTGCTCATGGGTTTTGTTACAACCTTCAATGAAGCTTTTGAGGTCAGGATTGGCATTACACATGAGAGGATGTGCAGCGACTTAATATCTAACATATTCAGAGATTTGAGTAGGGGTACCGAGTGATGTCTGGGGCCAGAGTTGGATATTGTCCTAATAGCAGCTTTGTGTTGAGTAACTAAAGGACGTAAATGATTTTGGGTAGTAGAACCCCAAGCACAAATACCATAGTTGAGATATGGATAGATGAGGGAGTAATAGAGCGTCACCAGGGCAGGGCGAGGTACATAATATCTGATCTTAGAAAGAATGCCAACAGTTTTTGAAACTTTTTTTTTTTAATATATTTAGAATGTGTCCCTGGAAATTCAGTTTGTGGTCAATGAAAACGCCAAGGAATTTGCCATCTATTTTGTTACAAATCTGGGTATTGTTTATCCTGAGATTTATTTGATTAGAGGATTTATTGCCAAACAGAATATAGAAAGTTTTGTTAATGTTAAGGGTGAGTTTGTTGGCAGTTAGCCATAGATGGACTTTATTTAGCTCAGCATTCACCGTGACATTTAGAGCAAGGGGGTCAGGACTGGAGTAAATGTAGGTTGTGTCGTCAGCAAATAAAATTGGTTTGAGGTGTTGGGAGGCATTTCGAAGGTCATTAATGTAGATGAGAAAGAGGAGAGGGCCAAGTATGCTGCCCTGAGGAACACCAATATTGATGGGTAGGGTGGGAGAAATTGAATTATTCACAGAAACATACTGGAGCCTGTCAGTAAGGTAAGATTTGAGGTATTGCAGGGAGTGTCCTCTGACTCCATAATGATGTAATTTAAGAAGGTTTTGGTGGTTGACAGTGTCAAAAGCCTTATGCAGGTCCACAAATAACCCAACAGAAAATTCATTTTTATCAAGAGCTGCATGAATCAAGTTAATCATACTAATAAGTGCATCGTTAGTGCTTTTTTGGTCTGAAGCCATATTGACAAGAGCTAAGTATATTGTGTTTGGCTAGATAAGAGTAAAGCTGCTTGTAGATTAGTTTTTCAAATATTTTTGACAAGTTAGGCAGGATTGATATAGGTCTGTAGTTGTTAACATCTGTGAGATCACCACATTTGTAGACAGGGGTTACTCTCGCTTTTTTTTAGAATATCTGGAAAGGTTTGGAGTTCAAGTGACTTGTTGAAGAGCAATGCAATAGCAGGGGGCTAAAGATCTGGAGGCTTTTTTGTAAATTAAAGTTGGTATCTCCTCAAGGGCACCAGACTTGGTTTTAAGAGAAAGGATTATCTCATTAGGGGGATTTCACAAATATTGGGATCGAAATCCCCCGTAAAAGGGGATTTCGATGTGGATTCAAAATATAACTTATTTAAAAATATTCTAAGCAAAGCCCAGGAACGTAGTATACCATATAAATTGAATAGATCGAATAGTAATGATCCAAAGTGGATAACAAATGATCTGAAGAACCTTATAGGTAAAAAGAGAGCATGGTACAAAAGGATTAAGAATGGGGAAGTTAGTTTAGAACAGGAATTCGTACAACTGGTTAGAAATGTTAAAAAAGAGATAAGGAAAGCAAAAAGAAACTATGAAGTTCGCATAGCAGGGCAAGCGAAGACAAATCCTAAAGGGTTTTTTCAGTTATATCGAACTAAGACTAGGGAAAGGATAGATCCATTAAAAACCGAGACAGGTCAAATAACGGATAATGACGAGGAGATGAGTAGTATCTTTAATAAATATTTTATATCTGTATTTACTAAAGAGGAACGTAACAATATGCCTTCAGCCGAACAAGTATATGTGGGTGGGGACGAGGACAGGTTGAATAGTTTAGCAGTTACCAAAGAGGATGTAATTAAACAAATAGTAAAACTCAAACCAAACAAATCCCCAGGGCCGGTGTTTGCCAGGGTGCTTAAAGAATGCAAAGAGGAGCTTTGTGACCCACTGTCTACCATATTTAATAAATCAATAGAGTCAGGCAGAGTGCCAGAGTTATGGAAAGTTGCTAATGTGATACTAGTTTTTAAGAAAGGAGATAGATGACTTACGTCAAACTATCGACCAATTAGCCTAACGTCTATTGTGGGAAAGTTACTCGAATCTATAATTGCAAATAAAATTCGTCTTCATCTTGAAAAACAAATTAATAATTTTGTCACAACATGGTTTTATAAATGGCCGTTCATGTTTAACAAATTTGTTATCATTTTATTCTAGCATAGTTGAGGCAGTTGATAGTGGTAAGGATTGTGATGTTGTGTACCTTGACTTTAGTAAAGCTTTTGATACAGTGCCACATGAAAGACTGATTAAAAAGATAGAGGCTCATGGTATTGGGGGTGCTATATTAAGCTGGATTAGGGCATGGCTATACCAAAGGAAACAGAGTTAGTATAAATGGAATCAAGTCAGAGTGGGAAAATGTTGTAAGTGGAGTGCTTCAAGGCTCTGTCCTGGGACCTCTGTTGTTTATAATATATATAAATGATTTAGATTCAGGTTTGAGTAGCAACATTTGCAAATTTGCCGATGATACAAAAATCGGTAGGGAAATTAATACGGAAGAAGACTCACCATCTCTTCAAGATGATCTAAATAGGGTTTTGAAATGGTCAAAGGATTGGCAGATGCAGTTTAATGCTGATAAATGTAAAGTTCTGAGGCTAGGTAATGAAGATAGAGTTACAAGATACGAGCTAGATGGTGTTGAGATTGCGAAGTCGAATTGCGAAAGGGATCTGGGAGTTATGATTAGTAAGAATTTAAAACAAAAGGATCAATGCATGAATGTTCGTAATAAGGCAAATAGGACACTGGGATTTATTTATCGAAGCGTTAGTAACAAGACACCTGGTGTGGTTCTTCAACTATATCTTGCTCTGGTTAGGCCCCATTTAGATTATGCAGTTCAGTTTTGGTCGCCGTACTATAGAATGGATATAAATTCACTTGAACGTGTCCAGCGTAGGATGACTAAGTTAATTCCCCAAATTAGAAATCTTTCATATGAAGAAAGATTAACAAAGCTTAAATTGCATTCACTGGAAAGGCAAAGAGTTAGGGGTGACATGATAGAGGTTTATAGGTGGATGAATGGACACAACAAAGGGGATATTAATAGGGTATTAAAAGTATCAACACAAAACAGAACACGAAACAATGGGTATAAATTGGATAAATTTAGATTTAGGAAAGACTTTGGTAAATACTGGTTCAGTAACAGGGTTGTTGATTTGTGGAACCAATTACCGTGTAACGTGGTGGAGGTGGGGTCCCTCGATTGTTTCAAGCGCGGGTTGGACATGTATATGAGTGGGATTGGGTGGTTATAGATAGGAGCTGCCTCGTATGGGCCAATTGGCCTTCTCCAGTTGCCTTTGTTCTTATGTTCTTATGTATGTTCTTATGTTCATTTACTTCCCTGCCTAGCAACAAGTCTGTCCAATTACACTCATTAAAAAATTTGAAGTTCCCCATAGTGACCTCTCCTTAAATCAAGTTTATCAACTGTTTCAATGTCCCCATTTTCTTCTAGATGATATCTTAAAGCATAATCAATATCTAACAGGATGTAATCACTCTTTCCCAAGGGAGGACAGTACTGGATGTCAATTATCTCTTTCTTTCCTGGTGAATACTAGATCCAGTACTGACGGTACATCTCCTTCCCTCATTCTTGTGGCCTGCCTTATGTGTTGATAAAAGAATGTCTCCAGAAGGAGGTTCACAAATCTGCATGTCCAAAAATCCTCCGTTCTTGCTTCATAGGTCTCCCAGTCTATTGCTTTAAAGTTGAAGTCCCACAGTATCAACAGTCGTGATTTATCTTTATCTGCTTGTACAATAATCTCTCTCATGACCATTATGAGGCCCTCTCGTTTGCCATCCAGTTTTTCCTTTGTCCATGTGTTGCTTGCTGGTGGGCTGTAGGCATTTAAAATTATCAGCTTATCATCCTGATTCCAGATCTGCAATGCCATTATGTCAATATCTTGAGGATTTTCAAACATTAACTCTCTTACCTTCAGGTGTTTTTTCACCAGTACAGCCACTCCTCCTCCCTTCCTAGTTTTCCTGTCACATCTCCAAACTGAATAGCCTCTTGGGAATATGACTTCATTTATTATATTTCCTTCAAGTTTCGTCTTTGATA